CAGGATGGCAGCCATTGACTTGTAGAGTTCCACAGAAGTCAGTCTTGGGATTTCAACTATTTGCGTGATACATTAATGATGTGGATGAAGAAACTGAGGACATTGTTGCTTAGTTTGTAGATGCCACAAAGATGGGTGGAGAGACAGGTCGTGTTGAGCAAGTGAAAAGGCTGCAGAAGGAGATGGGTAGGTAAGCAGCAAATGGAAAACAAAGTAGAAAAATGTAAAAAAGTTATGTACTTTGGTGGGAAAAAGAGAGGCACACATTAGTTTCTAAATGGTGTAAGCCTTCAGAAATCTGAATCACAAAGGGGCTTCACTTCATTAGGGCTAGAATAGATGAGCTGAGGCTGTATAAGGCTTTTGGAATATTGCGAGCCGTTTTGGGCCTTGTATCCTGGGAAGGATGTGCCGGCTTTGGAGGTAGTCCAGAAGAAGTTTACAAGAATGATGCTGAGGGTTAAGGTCTTATCTTATGAGGAGTAGTGTGAGACTCTGGGTCTGTACTCATTGGAGTTAAGGTAGGACATCCAATTGATGTATATAGATGCAAACGGGGACTGAAAAAGTGGATGTAGAAAACATAACACAGTGTGGAGCTGAAGAAGCACAGCGGGCCAGGCAGCGTCAGAGGAGCAGGAAAGCTGACGTTTTGGGTCGGGACCCTTCTTCAGAAATGGGGGTGGGGAAGGGTGCTCAGAAATAAATTGAGAGAGGAGGGGTGTGGCTGAGGAAGGTAGGTGGGATGTTGATAGGTGAGTGCAGGTAGGCAGTGATGGGGATTGGTCAGTGTGGGGAGGAGGGGATAGGTGGGAGAGGAGATGGACAGGTTGTGTCAGGTTAAGGAGGCAGGGATGAGAGGGTGGGTTGGTCATGGGATGAGGCTGGGGGTGGGAGATTTTGAAACTAAAGTTTTCCTGCTCCTCTGATGCTGCCTGGCCCACTGTGCTCCTCCAGCTCCACATTGTGTTATCTCTGACTCCAGCATTGGCAGTTCTTACTTTCTCTCTGGAGTAAAGATGTTTCTTTATTGGGTGCAATCTAGAATGAGAGGATATTGTTATACAATAATGGTGGCAGATTTAAACCAGAGGTGAGGAGAAATTATTTCTCAAAAAGGGTTGTGAATCTGCAGAATTCATTACCCCAGAGTGTGGTGGATGCCGAGACACTGAATAAATTTAAGGAGGAAATAGATAAATATTTAATTAGTAACAGTTTGATGGGTTATGGAATTGGGCAGGAAGTGGAGTTGAGGCTGAGTTGAGATCAACCTTGATCATATTAAATGCCAGGGTAGGCTTGGGGAGGCTGACTTGCTTACTCCTACTCCCATTTGTTATGTCTTAAAAGTATACTTAAACCCACTCTTTCTCACATACATGCATACACTAAACACTCACACACATGTTCATTCTTATATGCTCTCTGACTTTCCATGCATACATTAACTCTCTCATATACATGCACTCACTTGAGTCAAAAATATTCGAACTCCCTTTCTCACACATACTCACACTCATTCTCATGAACATACTCTCACAAATATATTGTCTCAGACATGCGCTCACACTGTCTAACACATTCTCTTTTATATGAAGTTATTCTCGCATATGCGCACATTCACTCTGATGAGATAAAGCCTTGTGAAGGTTACTTAAAGCTTAGTACATTTAACGTCAGTTGTTGTCCAGGAAGAAGCAACCTACAGTTCCAGTCAAAAAGTTGAATTCATAAGTAGTTTAAACCAAGCAAGGTTTTAGACAACAGGGACACTATTATATGAGTGGTGTTTTGGGTACTGTAAAAAAAGGTAAGGGTAACTGATATGTTTCTTTTTCAAGTTTTGTTTTATTCATTTGTGGGATAAGGGTATCACTGGGTAACCAGCATTTATTGCCCATTCCTAGTTGCCCTTGAGAAGGTGGTAGTGAACTACCTTCTTGAACCACTGCTGCCCACCAATGTTGTCTGGGAGGGAATTCCAGGATTTGACTCAGTAACAGTGAATGAATGGAGATATATTTCTGAGTCAGAATGGTGAGTGGCTTGGAAGGAAATTTGCAGGTGGTGGTATTCCCATGTATCTGTTGCCCTTATCTAGATGGAACTGGTTGTGAATTTGGAAGGTGCTGTCTTTGGTTAACATCTGCAGTGCATCTTCTGGATAGTATACACTGCTACTACTGAGTGTTGGTGGTGGAGGGAGAGGATATTTGTAGATGTGATGCCAATCAAGCAGGTAGCTTTATCGTGGATGGTGTCAAGATTCTTGAGTGTTGTTGGAGCTGCACCCATCCAGGCAACTGGGGAATATTCCATCACACTCTTGACTTGTAGATGATGGATAGGCTTTGGGAATCATGAGGTGAGTTACTTGCCGCAGTATTCCTAGCCTCTATCCTGCTCGTGTGACCACTGTGTTTATGTGGTGGCTCCAGTTGGGTTCTTGGTTAATGGTAACCCCAAGAAAGTTGTTAGTGCGCATTTCAATGATGGTAGCACCATTGAATGCCATTGAGCAGTGATTAGATTGTATCTTATTGGTGATGGTCATAACCTGGCATTTGTGTTACTTGCCACTTGTCAGCTCAAGACTGAATGTTGTCCAAATCTTGTTGCATTTCAACATGGACTGTTTCAGTATTTGAGGAGTCATGAATGGTGCTTAATATTGTGCAATCATCGGTGAACATCCCATTTCTGACCTTATGATGGAGGGAAGGACATTTATGAAGCAGCTGAAGATCATTGGCCTAGGACACTACATAAGAACATAAGAACATAAGAACTAGGAGCAGGAGTAGGCCGTCCAGCCCTTCGAGCCTGCTCCACCATTCAATAAGATAATGGTTGATCTTTTCATGGACTCATATCCACTTACCCGCGTTCTCACTGTATCCCTTAATTCCTTTATTGTTCAAAAAAATCTTCCTTATCTTTAAAAACGTTTACTGAGGGATTCCTGCAGAGATGTCCTGGAAATGAGCTAACTGACCTCCAATGTCCCAGGTGTGATTCCAAACAGAGAAGAGTTTGCCCCCCAGATATCCATTGATTCCAGTTTTGCTAGGGGTCCTTGATGCCATACTCGGTTGAATTCAGCTTCGATGTCAAGGGGTGTCACTCTCACGTCACCTCTGGCATTCAGCTCTTTCAACCATATTTGAACCAAGGCTGTAATGTGGTCAGGAGCTGAGTGGCCCTAGTGGAAACCAAATTTGGCATCACTGAAGATGTTATTGCTGAGCAGGTGCTGCTTGATAGCACTGTTGATGACACCTTCCATCACTTTACTGATGGGACGGTAATTGGCCAGGTGGAATTTGTCTGCTTTTCATCTACAGAATATACCTGGGCAATTTTCCACATTGTCAGGTAGATGCCAGTGTTGTAACTGTACTGGAAGAGCTACAATAGAGTTCTTGGATTATACTTTTTAATTTGTGTTTTTAAAATGTTTTGAATTTTTATTATATTTATTCAATTTTATCTTTATTTGTTTTGTTGACAAACTTCTGTTTTATTGTTAAAACAAAACAGACCGGATTAAGTGCTCATATTTCAGTGAGAAACCACTTCATCAAAGCCAAATCAAATCAAAATATGAAGTAGCAAGCCAGTTTCCTGTATAGGATCTGGTGGGATCATAACAATAAAGTCAGTTCAAGTTACAAAAGTAATCAACAATTGATCCAGAAAATTCAACAGGAAGTACACTTGCCAAAGCATTTCATGTATACCATATGTATGTTAGCCATAGAATTTAACTGTAGTCAATACGGAGAAATAAAAGAGTCATGTGTAAAAGAGTTTGCGTGTAACCTGTCATATTCAAATGAAACTAGAAGAGTGCTAAAATCATAGCAATAAATCAGATGAAAACGTACATGACAGAAATAAGAAACTTTAAGTTTCACATGACTTAACCCCTTCTATGTCCCACCAAACTCAGATGAAGATATTTCAATCACCAATGGAGCAGACATGCTCTAAAAACAGTAGCTGAAGACTTTAGTCGACCATTGGTACAAATGTTTGCACAGATCCTGGCCCTCATGCTATGATAATAACTCCTCAAGCATAACTCAAGCAAAAACTTTGTCCCATTGCAGAGGTCCCACTTATTTGTGAGTATACTGTGTTATGAGGCAACCACTTGGAAGATGGTTGGTCCTGCCTGAGTATTGGCTCTCTAAGGGGACTGTACCTGGTGATTAGTGCCATATACACCTCTCTCCTGGACTTGGCTGGAACCATTCAATGATATGGCAAGGTGTCATAATGGTTAGCACTACTGCCTCACAGTTCCAGGGGCTTGGGTTCAATTCCAACCTGTGTGGAGTTTGCACATTCTCCTTTTATGTGAGTGGGTTTCTGATGGGTGGTCTGGTTTCCTCCCACAGTCCATAGATGTGCAAGTTAGATTGTTCTTTAGAGAGTTCATACAAACTGATGGGTGCATGTCCTCTTTCTATCTGTAGGGATTCCATGATGCTTTAATACAGTGTTGTGTTTCAATGTCAGAAAGGCGATTTTTCCTCTCTTGATGTAATGAAAATTGCATCCCAGTGCAGAATTGGGTGATTCTTGGACAGATTGAATTGCAAATTCAGCATGAGGACAATATCAAGACTATTGAATGTTAAGGAAGTCTGGATGATTTGAGTTAATAAACCTGGGAAGCTACAGCTACAAAGATTTCCAGTCAGAATTGTAAAGTAAATGAGGTTTTATATGTTAGCTCCTTTAAATTTGTCTGTAAACAGTGGAATCTGAGGGGCTTGACATCGCTGACTGTTCAAATTATCTCCCATATGATGTTTCTGTATTTAATAAAAGTGTTCAAACCTCATTGTGCATCGTGCCCGATATCTCCCAAATTTACGGGTCATCTGTTTCGCCAACTGAGAAAAATATTCCTGATCGCTGTTCACTTGCTCCTGGATTACCCCGAATGCCCCGCGCTACGGAAAGCCTCCTATCAGGCCGCATGGAAGCCAGTGCGGAGGTGCAGGAGCGGGTGTTGCTGTGGGCATGCTCAGTGTCAGTCAGAGGGACAGAGTGCGGAGGAATGGATGGTTCTGGCGGCGGCGAAGATTGTCAGACAGGGTAGGATTGGAAACCGCGGGACTGAGACGTAGGGACGTTATAAAGTCCCGGGATAAGCTGAAAGCTCCCAATAGGAACGTAAAGGCCTCGTGTTTACTCTGGTGTGGACTTATCTGCCACTATCTCGGTGAGGGTTTAAGCCTTTCCCATGAGACTGAAAGGTATAGCTTTGGGGAGGTAATTTTCCAAGGAAACAAAAATAAATGTTCTGAATTTCTGTCCTGTGCTTATAGATAGGACTTTTAAAAACATATAAAATCCCCTCTTTACAACAGCAAGATTACAGAGATTAAAATCGAATCAAACATCATGTCAAAGAAAGAAACGAAAGAACTGTGGATGCTGTAAATCAGGAACAAAACAACGTTGCTGGAAAAGCTCAGCAGGCCTGGCAGCATCTGTGAAGGAAAAAACAGAGTTAACGTTTCGGGTCCCAACTGTTCTGAGGAAAGGTCACTGGACCCGAAAGTT